AGGAATGAAGAGGGTGAAATCACAACAGATCCTACAGAGATCCAGAAGATCAATACCTACTTCGAGAACCTGAATTCTAGTAAGATGGAAAACACAGAAGAAATGGACAGGTTCCTAGATACATATGAATTACCAACACTGAATCAAGAAGATATAGAAATTCTAAATAAACCAGTATCAGTCAATGAAATTGAATATGTAATTCAAAAATTAACAACAAAGAAAAGCCCTAGCCCTGATGGATTTACTGCTGAATTCTACAAGAAATTTACAGAAGACCTAATATTGCTACTCCTCATACTTTTTAATGAAATTGAAAGGGAAGCAATGCTCCCAAATTCATTCCTGAAAGCCAAAACCAGAGAAGGAGCCAACCAAAAAGGAGAATTACAAGCCAATCTCCCCAATGAACATAGATGAAAAATTCTCAATAAGATACTGGCAAACAGAATGCCTCAAATCAAGACGGTTATACACTATGACCAAGTTGGATTCATCCCAGGGATGCAGGGATGATTCTACATATGCAAATCAATAAATGTAATACACTATTATTAACAGAGCCAAGGGCAAAAACTGTATGATTCTCTCAACAGATGCAGAAAAACTGTTTGACAAGGTCAAACATTCATTCATGATAAAAACTACAGAAAATTGGTATAGACAGTCTTTACCTCAATCTGATAAAAGCCATCTGCAACAAACCAACAGCCAACATCATACTAAATGGACAAAAACTGAAAGCTTTCATTCTAAAATCAGGAACAAGACAAGGATGTCTACTTGTTCAGTATAGTTCTAAAAACACTAGCCAGAGCAATTAGACAAGAGAAAGAAATAAAAGGAATAAGGATAGGAAAGGAAGAAGTTAAATTATCATTATTTGCAGATGACATGATACTCCACATAGAAGACCCCAAAAACTCCACCAAAAGAGTTTTAGATTTGATAACCAAATTCAGTGGTGTGCTGGATACAAAGTCAACACTCAAAAGTCAACAGCCTTCCTGTACACGAATAACAGACTCACAGTGAGAGAAATTAGAGAAACAATACCTTTCACAATAGCATCCAAAAAAAAAAAAATGCCTAGAAATCAACCTAATGAAGGAAATAAAAGACCTCTATATTGAAAACTACTGTACTCTGACAAAGGAGATTGAAGTAGATATTAGAAAATGGAAAGATACCCCTTGTTCTTAGATAGGAAGAACTAATATAGTGAAAATGGCCATACTTCCAAAATTGTTATTACAGATTCAATGCAATCACAATCAAAATCCCAAAACTGATGGGCCAGGGATTTAGCTCAGTGGTGCTACCGCCTGCCTCACAAGTGCAAGGTCCTGAGTTCGATCTTTGATACCAAGAAAAAAGAAAAAAAGAGAAAAATCCCAAAAGTGTATCTCACAAAATTAGAAAAAGCAGGGCCAGGGATTTAGCTCAGTGGTTCCGCCACCTGCCTTGCAAGTGGGAAGTCCCAAGTTCGATCCCTGGTACCAAAAAAAAAAAAAGAAGAAAAATCAATCCTAAAGTTCATTTGGAACCAAAAGAGACCTAGAATAGCAAAGGCAATTCTGGGCAACAAAGGCAAAACGGGGTATCACAATCCCTGACTTTAAATTACACTACAAAGCTATTGTGATAAAAACAGCATGGTACTGGCAAAAGAATAGACCTGAGGATCAATGGAACAGACTAGAGATGCAGAAACAACTCCAGACATATTCAATCACCTTATCTTTGACAAAGGAGCCAAACACCTTCACTTGAAAAAAGATAGCCTCTTTTAACACATTGTGCTGGAAACACTGGCTTTCCACATGCTGAAGACTGAAACTAGACCCGTATCTTTCACGATGCACTAACCCAAAATCAAAATGGATTAAAGATCTAAATATTAAAACAGAAACACTAGCGCTCGCTTTGGCAGCACATATACTAAAACAGAAACACTAAATCTGCTGGAAGACAGAACAGGTAGAACATTTGGGGACACAGGAGTAGGCAAAGTCTTCATAAACAAAACCCAGACTGCACCAGAAATACTACAAAGAGTGAACAACTGTGACCTCATCTTTTTAAAAAGCTTTTGCACAGCAGAGAAACCACCAACAGAGTGAAGAAACAGCAGAGAGTGAGAAAAAATTCTTACCAGCTATTCTGATAAAGGACTATTATCTAGAATACATAAAGAACTCAAAAACATCAAACCCCCCAAATTTAAAGACTCAATGTAAAAATGGGCATCTGAAATGAAAAGACTCTTTTCAGATGAAGAATTAGAAACGGCAAATAAGTATATGAAAAAATGTTCAACATCACTGGTCATTTGAGGGATGCAAATTAAAACAATGGTGAGATTCCACTTCACTCCAGAAAGAATGGCTGTTATCAAGAAATCAACCAACAACAAATGCTGGTAGGGGGATGGGGAAAAAGGAAAGAATTAAGAGCATCATACTACAGTAATATATGCACACCCATGTTTCTAGTAGCACAGTTTGTAATAGCTAAATCTTGGAAACAGCCCAAATGCCCACCAACTGATGAGTGGATAAAGAAGATGTGTGGATTTTTTTAATACAATGGAGTACTACTCTCTCATAAAGAGGGATGAGCTTCAGGCATTTTATAGCTAAACGGATGGACCTTGAGACCACCATATTCTTAAGTGAAATAAATCAGACACACATGCTTAAATACTGCATTGTTTCTTTGGTGTGAAAAACTGAAAGTGGAAATAAGGACTGAAATGTATAATGGATGCTGGGAAATGGAAAGAAAATGTTCCAATGGAAAGGAGGGCAAGGGAGGAGGGAGGGAGAAAGTAAGGAAGGGACAAGAAAAAAAGTGAAAATAGAAAAAAATGGAAACAAAGCTTTTGTACATAGGGAGGGGAGGGGGTTGAGGGGAGGAATGGAAAAAAACAAATTTTTTTTTTTTTTGGTACCGGGGATCGAACTTGGGACCTTACGCTTGCGAGGCAGGCGCTGGAAACACTGAGCTAAATCCCCAGCCCAAAAAAACAAAATTAAAAAAAAATAAGTAAAATAAAATGCAATCCCTAAGCCCAAGGCCACAGACCAGGCACACAGGGGGCTGCACCCCTAAGCCCTAGCACGCAGCCAGTGCACCCAAGTTTTAATCACTTCCCAGCACCTTCCATGTGCATTCCCTAATGCTGCCTCGGTTCCACTGGTCTCTGTTACCCATAAGACATAAGGGTATTGATTTCACCTATCTGGCTTCTCACTAGGTTCCTAGGATCTGCTGTCCAATGGCAGTTCAATGAGCACTAGCAAATCCCATCCCCGCCGCTCAGGCGTCTATTACAGTGGGTTACACTGGGGAAGTTAGTTGACAAAACCACACCTCTTCCTAAATTCAGTTCTACCAACATAAGCTCAGTTTTGTTAGTGTCACTGTAATGTGTAAGTCAATTACACAAAGCAGTTGAGGCTGGTGGCGCAAGCCTGAAATCTCAGCACTCTGGGAGGCTGAGACAGGAAGATCATAGGTTTGAGCCCAGACTGGGCAACTTAGTGACTTAGCAAGACACTGTCTCAAAATAAAAAAGGCTAAGGATGTAGTTCACTGCAAAGGCCCTGAGTTCAATCTCTAGCCCTGGGGGAAAAAAGAAAAGAAAAAAAAAGCAGCAGCAATCAATTCTATTTCTTCACCTTTAAAACACCCAAACTCTCTTCCCTTCAACAGACAGTGCCCACTCAAAATCACTCCACTACTACCTCATAGCCTGGCAAGGGTGAACTCCTGTGACTCCTCCCGGGTGAAGGGTGCTGCATGGTGGCCTTGGTCTGGAAGGTGAGCAAGGTGAGGATGAGAAGGAAAGGGTGACAGGTGAGAAGAGCAGGTGGGGATTCTGGCTTTTCACCCCATCTGCTTATTGCCACAGGGATCTACAGCACAGGCAAACTGCTTCATGGGCTTAAATTTCTAGCGGGGAGGTTGCAGGATGGGAAAAAGCAGGTGTAGGAAACCCCAACACCTGCCACACAGAAGGCAATCAACAAACACTAGTTTCCTTCTTTTTAAGGGCTACAGCGAATCAGAACCTGACTGTTTCCTTAGTGATAAGCTTCTGTGTGGATGTGTTGTTTCTAGTGTGCATTGGGATCACCTGAGAGCTGGGTAGAAGACACTGAATCCTGGCCTACCTCAGATGTACTGAATCAGATTCTGCATTGTAACAAGATTCCCTGGTGATTCACCAAAAGTCAAAACAGAGAGCTGGGCAGCAAATGCCTTCCTAACACCCAACTCACGGGACCAAGATCACATGGTAAAGGTGATGGCAGGTCCAATACTCCCTCTCAAAATTGAAGTAAGTAGGGGAAGACACTCTAAGAGCAAACCTAGAGCCGCAATACTGTGATTGGTCATTTTTGTCAAAATGTGATCATTTACCGACTGCCTATGGCCACCTCTTTTAACTAGGAGCTTCCTTTCTGCTCTGATATGGACTGTTACCCACACACACAGCACTCAGCCCTGGTAGGCTCTCAGTCTTAAAAAAAAAAAAAAAAAGGACAATGGGCCGGGGATTTAGCTCAGTGGTTTCACCACCTGCTCCATAAGAGCAAGGACCCGAGTTTGATCCCTTTTAAAAAAAAAAAAAAAAAAGGACAATGGGCCGGGGATTTAGCTCAGTGGTTTCACCACCTGCTCCATAAGAGCAAGGACCCGAGTTTGATCCCCGGTACCAAAAAAAAAGACAATGAAGTTGTTCAGGGAGGTGAAATATGATGTCAGCTGTCACAGGGCAATGAGCTCTACAGAAATCCTGGGCTGTTACTTCCAACTAACCCCTCATTCTATGCCATGACACACTGCCGATCTAGCTTATTAAACCCTGAGGTAAATAAAAAATGCCACTGAGTCCTGAAACCCTGAGGTAAATAAAGATGCCAGTGAGTCCTTAACACTTGTGAAAAGTGAGATTGCTCTGCCCAGACAGGCACAGATCACAGGATGCTCACGTGTCCTTCTCCTTTTCAGAACTCTCGTATTCCAGGAACACGATGTGTCGGGGGTAGTGGCCACAGATATCCCCATTCACATTCGGAATCACGCTGAAACAGTAGTCTCGGCCAAACAGCTCCAGACATCTCTTCTCGATGCGCTCAACCTTTTTTGGGGGGGTGGGGGGGACGACACATGAACCATGTAAGATTTTGAGATTCCAAATGTAAGAATTAAGCAGCCCATGACTTAAGAGAGATCACCGGGAAGACATGCACCTGTGTGGTTATTATTATTTGATGCTGGGAAGAGACATGACTGCCCACAGCATCCCCAGGTGCAGTAACCCACACGTCGTATGCTTCAGGAAGGACCTTGAACCCCAACATTGCATGTGAAACTGTGGTCAGCATTTAAGAGGATTACAGCTTTCATTAGCTTCACATGAACCCACAACTAATATATAAGAACTCTTGGTCTAGGTTACTGTACCTGGCACTAATCCGTCTGCCCTTGGTGACAGTTTCTTCCCTATCCTCTAGCTCCAGACTAGTACCTTAAAGCTCTACTCAGTGGAATCATTATTAAAAGGTGCACAGAGAGCTGTTTACTTATACACTACTTGCTTATAAAATAGAAGGTACAGGGCCAGGGATTTAGCTCAGTGGTGCTGCACCTGCCTTGCAAGCACAAGGTCCTGAGTTCGATCCCTGGTACCAAAAAAAAAAAAAGGTACACTGCCTCCAAATGAATTGCTTCATTCATACCTCAAGGAAAGGTCTACTAGAAAATACTGTTAAGATCAACATCTCAAGAAGCTTCCAAGAGATCAGGAGGCTGGGAGAGGTATCAAAGGAGGGTACAACAAAAGTAGTGTAACTTGGCCATTTTTTCTAAGAAAATTTGCTCTTCCAGGGCTTCTGGCTGTTTTTTAGGAGAAACTATTTCTGACATTTGTTTACTAAAAAGTTTACCAGAGTCAAACGAGGTTGCTAAATTGCACAGGCTGGACTCCCAACTTGTGATCCTTCTGCCTCCCAGAGTGACTGAATTACAGGCCTGTGCTACAGGACCAGCAATATCACCATGCACCAACATATGGAGGATGATAATTGAAGGATCAGTCTGCTAAGGCGAATAAGGAAGAAGTCCCGAAATTGTGAATGCTTCCTTTTTTGCCTGGTATCAATGGCTGTGATTTTGGGACTGGTTCTCACTGTAGGGGCCCACTCTGACCCTGTGGCTTTCATTGTTGGCCTAACCCTGACAGCTGCCGGCTCATATTTAGTCATCTATGTGAGTTTGTTGGTTTGGTGTAGAACTTTGGAGGTGTTGTTGAGAATCCCGGTTCCTGGCCTGGGTGTCAGGAATTTCTGAGAGTGCTGCTCAGGAGATTTCAGAGATGGCCAGCACCTCCCTGTGACTCTATGGTGAACTGTGAATTTGGGACCATGCTGGCACAATGAACCATTTTATGTATTATTTTTAATTACAAATAAATTTTCCCTTTTGGGGAAAAAAAAAAAGTAGTATAACTTATATGACAACCCTAATCTTCAGAGGCATGTAAGATGGAAGAAAGGATCAGGAAAAAAAAAAAGAGAGGCCTTTTATACCACTAAAAAGACCCTCCTTGAAGGACAACTCATGGTGGTTTAAACTAGGTATCCTAAAATTTCAGGGCACATGAGCATTAAGAAGCCAGTGGCCTGTAGTAACAGCAGTCTGAAGGCTGAGGCAGGAGGATCACTGGGAGTTCAAGACTAGCCTGGGCTACATAGCAAGTTCAAGGCCAGCCTGAACTACATAGTGAGACTCTGTCTCAAAAAACCCAGGGCCAGGGATTTAGCCCAGTGGTTCCGCTGCCTGCCGTGCAGGCGCAAGGTCCCAAGTTCGATCCCCGATACCAAAAAAAACCCCAAAAAAAACCCAAAAGAAAAAAAAAAGTTGCAACAACCAATAACGTGTAGTTTAACTCCACCACCACCAAGAAGCATGTTAACACTGCAAATTCCAAGTTCCCGTTCTCTGAAATGCTGACTTAGCTACACTGGGTGGAATACCAAGTAAGAATCTTTTTAAAAAATGAGTACCCCACATGATGCTATGCTCTAGAAAGTACTTGGTCGTTCAGAGTACTTGGTCACTTTCCTGCTCACTGGGACACAATACCTCAGCCCCACAATTTAGAGGAGGAGGAACTTCTTTTGGCTAATGTTTTTAGTCCACAGTTGGCTGGCTCCAAGGCAGGAAGACATAGTGGAAGGGTCTGGCAGAGGAAAGTTGCTCCAGGAAGCGGAGAGTGAAGGGGGGAGCCAGAAGGGAGACAGACGTTTTCAGGTGACACCCCCAGTGACTCACCTCTACCAACCAGACCCTGTCTCCTACCAGAAAGGCAGTTATAACACCCTCATAATCCAATTTTCTATTGGACCTATGGTCACATGAGGCTTTGGGGGACAGCTAGATATAAACTGTACCAACGAGGAAGTCCCATCCTTACCAACATTGTCCCTGGATTACCTCAGAGACTAGCAGACACCACCTATATAGCATCTCCCAGCTTAAGTAATCTCTGGAGCCAAACCAGAGTTTTGTGGCTCAGGATGGAACAGAATCCCACCGAAAACCTGGTGTAAAAAGTGCCAAACCCACAAAGGGAAGAAATGACAGGATTAGTAAGATTCCCATTCTGCTTCCAGCCAATGCTTGGGGTGGGGGTGGGGGGTTGCCTTGGCCAGACCGGAAATGTTCATGCTTGGCCACTGACAGAGATTGGGGGGTGGGGCGCTGTGGCCTCCTTTTATTTAATTTTATTTTTTTGGTCTTTTGAGATAGGGTCTCGCTATGTAGTTAAGGCTGGCTTTGAACTCACTATGTAGCCCAGGATAGCCTTAAACTGGCAGCGATCCTCCTGCCTCAGCCTCAGTCACCAGAGTGCTGGGACTATAAGCATGCACCACTACGCCGGGCTTGAGGCCTCCTTTTTTCTTTTGATTGTTTACTGGTACATTTTAGGTATACAATACAGTTACATTTCTCATTGGGATCTTGTACCTTTACATGATGTATCTTGTAAAGGTTCTTATTTTTTCCCCATTCCCCTGCCCTCCCTTCACCCCCTCCAGCTTTCCCTATCTACAAATACTTTGTTTCCATTTCTTCCTTTTCTCATGTTTTTTCTTTTGGTACCGGGGATAGAACTCAGGTCCTTGCGCTTGTGAGGCAGGCTGTGGAACCACTGAACTAAATCCCCGGCACATGATTTTTATTTTCTCTTCTTTCCTTTCCCCTACCCTTCCCACTTCCTCTGCTTCTTTAGACCTTTTCTTCCTATTTCAATTACCAATTATACATTTCAATCCTTATTTACACTTTCAGTTTCTCACACCAGAGAAACTATTCGGTATTTACATATACGTGTCCTATTTATTTCACTTAAGAGTATGGAGGCCTCCTTTTAATAAAGGAACAGAAAGGGAGTGTGAATTGTCTTCTTACTCTGTAGGGGAAGGGGCTGGACTTAAGTCACACTGAGACCTTCAAAGGAAGAAACACAGTTCATACCTTGGCTCCACTCTGCCCCAGCCCCTTCATTCTGACCTCTGACTTGGAGAAATTCTCCCTCTATTTTCACTTAGATTTGGGGGTTTTGCCCTGACACCAACGCCTCCTAGGTACCGAAAGCAGAGTAACTGTCTCAGTTCTCACTCTAACCTTTGCACCCGCCACCTCCGACCCTTGACCTCCGAACTCCGTGTCTCAAACCAAAAGGTCCTCTTTCTTGGCTCGCTGTGACCCTAGTTCCTCATTTTGTGGTTGTTCAGTCGCCTCGTTAGTCTCTGAGCCCTGGAGAAGTCCCCTGTCCTCTTCCTGAGCAGGTAAGTCCGACTCCTCCCTCTGGGCCCCAGACCTATCTTTCCTCTGGAAGTCACCACGCCAGGCGCCTCTCTGCTCTTCGCACCTCAGGGCTCTCACCTTAGAACCGCTCGTCCCACCGCCATCCTTGGCCCGGTACTGAGTCCGGGAGAACTCCTCCAGCAGCTCCCCGAGCCCCGGCTCCTGGGGCGGCGGGCTGCCCGAAGAGGCTGACGGCCCCGTTGAGGATGCGGCGGCGGCCCGAGCGCCGGCCATGCCCACCTCCGCGTCCGTTCAGCGTGCCTTGGTCAGGCCCATGGTACCTGCTGCACCAACTCCCACTCCTCAACCTCCCGAGCCGTGGCTGCCACCACCTCCCTCTCCACTTCCGGCCCCGCCCATCTTGCCGGATGTTTACTGCGGCCGTAGCCAATCGGAGCGCGGAATTGCCTGCTGTCCGCAATTCCCCATCCACCTCTTCCACAGAGCGGTCCAAGTGGTATGGGGCGGGGGCCGCAGCGTGAGCAGATGCCTACAGCTCCGCTCACAGGGGTTCCCGGGTTCCCCCCC